TTGTTTTCCCCTTTCCTTTGTTCTTGTGCAGCCAGGAGTGACCGAGGACTGTTACCCACATCCCACCTGGGTGGGGGATGGGGGATGTTTGAGGCCTGACAGCCTGCCTTCTGCTCCCTCATCATTATGACACAGAATGTGCTCTATCTTTGTAAATGTTCCCTTGCACTTGGAAAGAATGTGTATTCGATTGTGCATTTAAAGAGGCTCAGTCTATTTTGATCTCATTAGTGAAGCTGTCTTTCCTCCTGGCCTGCCTTCCTGTGCCAGTGAAGCTGGAGGGGCGTCAGGAGGACCTCAGGCTCAAATGCCACTGACTTGCTATTTCTACTCAGTATTCAGTGTTTCAAGCATAAATGCTTCTTAATGTTGTGTGCTTTTGGACCACTGCCGTTGTGCTGAAATGGTTGTTTTTGTCAATTTTGTTCAGCTTTATGGTTGCTCTTTGGGGAGAGGATTTGCCAAGCTCCTCACTTGGCTAGAGCCAGAAGTCAGTTCTGGGCTATGGTGTTTTAAGCAACGAGTGGGGAAGTTTTGAGGCAGTGCTTCCTGACAAAATTATTTTCTTACTCCCAAATCCAGGCTAGTCGCCACAAGTTTTGCACCGAGAGCTGAGAGAAACATGCAGCTACCTATTCATGAAATAGAACTACAATTAGCTCATTTTGTAAAGCATTCCTTGTTAATTAGCAGAGTTTTTACATTTATGCTAAGTAACTATTAGCAGTTAGACTACAGAAGCGTTTAGAGTACAATGGGCATAGTCTCTTCTGTTTAGTCTCTACTTCCCTCAGTTCCTTACTATACAGTGAGTTATCAATGGGATTTTCTCCAAGGTAACTGAAGAGGTCTGTTCCGCATACAGTGGCGTGGATGGTAAACTGGGTGGCTACACACACAGATAAGGATCAGTGGATAACAAGGGGAGCAAAGACAGAGGCCAATCAGGACATGATATTTCCTTCAGCTAGTTACAACTAAAGCTTTTTCTAGCACCCAACAGGTCTGGATATATCAACAGTTTGATATATCATATGTTTGTATGAGATATAATTTATGTATCAATACATATACTATCAAGATGATGGATTAAAGATCCCAGATGTAGTGCAAGTACCGTAAAATCGCAAATATTTCTATAGTAGAGATGCAAATGATTTCTGTCTTGTGGAAAGGAATATAGCTATCTTATCGTGTATTGCTCTGTAGACAGTTACCAGTTTTGTGTTTCACCCAGCCATCTTATCCTAATGATGGGGTTTTGGGGTGATGGCGGGTTTCTGATGGCCAAGAAAGAATCCTGGAAGACGTCTTTGGTGCAAAATGGGTGATTTTATTAAAGTAAGGGAACAAGACCTGTGGGCAGAAAGAGCTACAGTGCAGTTGTGAAGAGTGACTGATTATACGCCTTCAGGCTAGAAGGGGGTTAGGAACAGCATAAGTCTCTAAGGAATTTTGGAAGCAACGTTTCCAGGACCTTGAGGGGGTAGCTGTTGTTAGGAAAATGTCATTTATTACTGTTTGGGAAAACCTCAGTCATGAGACCCTTTAGGCGTCTATCAGGAAGCTAGAAGCCTGGAGTCTGATTGCCAACATATATCTTGGGGGGAGGTGGGTAGAGATAAAGGAAGTTTCCAAAAGAGAGAATTTTTAGGTGTTAAAGGAGACTCACAGGACCCTCGGGGTCAGGATGATGTTAAGCCACGATTCCCTTTAGGCCCAAGAAAAGTGTCATCATGGAGGCAGCTGAGCTCCTAGAGAGAAGTCACTATGCCTGTTTCAAGGACTTGTCATTGGGCTATAGTCAGTAAGGGAATTTAAGTTTGCGATTGCCTTGGTTTCCCACACCACATTTTAGGCAAGCCCTAAAACCCCTTTCCTTTGTTCTGGGCAGGCGGGAGTGTCTGAGGAATACCACACATATCCCGCCTGGGGGGAGCTGCTGTTAGCCTGTTCTTGGCCCTCAGCTTGCCTTAGCTCCTTCATCGCTAGGAGGAGTGCAGCTGCTTACAGAGGTCATTGTGCATCAGGTTCCTTTCTGCTTCCCGCTCCTCCACTTGTAGAGCTTTGTTCCTCATGATGGGAAGACACTGGCACTGCCTTTAAAAGCTACCATTCCCCTTTGCGGGTAGGAAGAAGGGAAATAGTAAAGGGCAGAATGCATGTTAGCTACATTTGTGTCTCTTTTCAGGAAAACTATAGATTTCCTAGATGCCTCACCTAGTGGATTTCCACTTCTATCCAATAAACTAGATTGAGTCACAGAGTCACCTTTCGCTCTAGAAGTCCAGGGAGGTGAGCATTAATGGATGCGGCAGTTTCTCAATGAAATCTGTCTTCTCGTAAGGGGAGAATCCGCTTTGAATAGGCAACTAGCTGTTACAACCAAGAGAGTGTTTGAATCTGGAGGACGAGGTACTTCTATATGTTTTGAAAATCTTTCCCCAGTGATTCTTTTATGTCCTTACCTTACCACATTGATCATCGCTTGAATAGTGGTGCCTGAGCAAAGACCATTCTTACCTGCTGGCCTTTTGTTTTAAAAGACCCTTTAGTATTTACCATTACTTTTACTTTTCTCATTGTGGGTACAGATGTTGGTGCCTTTCTAATATTTAAAATTTCTCCTCTTTTTAAGTTTACAATTTTCTTCTTTGCCTTTCCCAAGTGGCCCTTTGTCTGATGTTATTGTTTTTGACACTGCTTTCTGAAATGCAAAAGTTTAAACCAAGAGAAATCACACTTTCATTGTCAGGCTAAGTTTGGCTTTTCATTCGGCTGTCAGTATATCAGGAGATATATTTAACCTGTAAGTTCTAAAACCCTTTTGTAGAGAGAATTTATTAAAGTTTGGTTATTTAGCTTCAGTCTACCGTTTTGTTTGTTTGTTTTTCTTTCCCTTCTTACCAATGCCATTAGACATGAGCTCACAAAAGTAGGGATGCAACCTGTTTATATTGTTATCACCTGAATCCAGTACAGATAGAGAGCTCAGTAAATCTTTGATGAATGAATACATGACATTAGCTAGATTGTATTGGAGAGATTCTTTTATATAGTTATCCTATGAATATTATCTGTCTAGCTCTTGGAGAGATTTCTTCCTTGCTGAACTCTGTAATTAAGATCATTTACTCATTAACTTTGCTTTCAAAATCAAATTTATATAGTTATGACATAGTTTCCTGGTAGGAAGAATGATTCCTTGATAGACTGAATTGATAGACTTATTTCAGAAATGTGGAGTGGTATATCTTGGTCTGCTTTAGAGAAAGGTGAACACAGTAGGGGAATACAGCTACTGATCTTATTCAAATAATACTTGTGAACAACTTTTACCCTGTCTGATTGTGAGGTTTCTTATGTTTTGTTTTGTTTTTTTCTGGAATCAAATATTTTGCAATTGAAAAAGCCATAAGGCTTAGAATAACCTTTCCAACCTGCATTTGTGATGATGATATGCAAATGTTTAAAACAATTTCTTTCTTTCTTTAGTAAGTAAACTCTTTGCCCCATGTGGGGCTCAAACTTAACAACCCCGAGACCGGGAGCCATATGCTCTATTGACTGAGCCAGCCAGGTGCCCTTGATAATGCAATTTTAAATGTCAGAATACCTCTTGCATGAATAGTACTCTGGAATAAAATGATTAAAGCATTCTGAAATTGAATCTACAGAGACTTAAGAAAATTTCTATCTTCTTCTTGTTCATATCTTAATTCCCAGTGTTATTTTGCAATAAATAGCATGTTCCATTTTACATTTTTAACTTGTGCTTCATTGGGAAAATTATCCACGATTTGGAAACCTTAAGTTTACCAAATCTTGTTAAATTACTCGGTATTCATTCTTCCAATGTAGTTCTGGGCTTGACTCTTTATTGTCAGAGCTGTCTTAAATCTCTAGAGGTGTGCAGGCTATTTCACAAATTTTTATCGGGAAGAAATACAAATATTTCTGTCCAATACAAAAGTTCCCAGCTTCAGCAAATAAAAAATGCATGCAGTATTTGGGACATACTTACACTAAAACAGCTATTGACTATTCATCCAAAATTCCCATTTAACTCTGCATCCTATGTTTTATCTGTGATGCTACCCCCAGAAGTTGAACTTTATGGCCATGTAGGAGATTAGCCAGTTTTGTATCTAAGTAATCTCATTGTAACATTGCCTACTAATAGTTTCTCACATGTTGTTCGGAACAGTTTTATCATCTTACTGGTTCCCTAATTAATTTATGAGTGATAGGAAGTATTTGACATATATCCATTTTATATATGCATAAGAGTCCTGACTTGGTCTTCCCGAAAATTACACTTCATCAGTTTTGTGGATCATCCACTGAGATACTCACATATCCTCACCTCGTGGACACAGGGAAATTGCATTGGTGGGGAAGTATACCCCATGGATAGTTTTTGGACCAGTTAGATCTTTTCTTGGCTTTCACAATAAATCCTAAGCAGCAAAAGGGCTTTGAATTTCTTTATTCTCTAATTTGTTTAATTTCGATTTTGCTTTCTTCATTTTCCCTATAGATTTTTTTTTTTTTTAATATGGAACACTTCACGAATTTGCGTGTCATCGTTGCGCAGGGGCCAGGCTAATCTTCTCTGTATTGTTCCAATTTTAGTAAACGTGCTGCCGAAACGAGCAGTTCCCTATAGATTTTTAATTTTTGTTTCTGGTTAATTGTATGGTCAGTAAATTATTCTTGTTGGTGGTAGCATTAATTGGGACTGCGGTTTTAGCATTTCATAATCTGATGATGTTTGTGTGATGAATAACGTATCTATTTTTGTTGGAAGTAAGTGTTTATATAAATAGAAATCTTGTAAATGCACAGGAAAT